CCCCAAAACCCCAAAACCCCAAAACCCCAAAACCCCAGAGAAAATTATTCAAATTGAATTATCTGGTGTTTGAAATATGAAAATTTGAATTAACTTTTCTGCTAATTTTCCTCCTGGTCATGCGGAGGAAATGCAGACATATTGGAGAAAGAGCTGGTGAAAGCTCCTGGAAAAGCGAATCCAATATGTGGCTGTCAACTTGACATTGAACTTACTTGTAATGATGCATATTGAGAGTCAGACTCTTCTCTAGGTATTTGGCATCTATTACATATTTTTCTAAAAGAGAAATTTAAATTGCTTCATGTGAAACAAATCCAGTCTCCTTTTGAAGATTTAGAATTCTGAGCACTCTTTGAATCTCCTTGCAATGATTGGTCACCACTAGGGTTAACTTCCTTATTCTGATTGTTCTTCTTTGGTTTATTCTTTCTTTTCTTGTTCATCTTGTTCATATTATTTTCATCATTTTTAGTCCTTTTAGTTTCTTTTCTAATTATATGTTGGGGCTTTCCATCAACGTCTTCCTTAGATTTAACCTTATTACACCTGTTGCACTTAATTCTTCCATAGAAGTTATAATTTTGTCAAAAAGAGCAGACCCAGCCTCCTTCAGGGAAACTAAATCCAGCTCTAGCTTTAGATCTAGCTTGGGGCTTTAGGCAGTTTATGTTTTCTTTATCATTATTGCAACCTTTGTGTTTCTGATTGTCACTAGCATTGCTTCCTTTCCTTTCTACTTCAGAAGAATCCTTTGTTTCTTCCTTAATAGTATTTTTATGATTTTCGTCTGGATTATTGTTCATTTCTTCTTTGCTTCATTTCTCCTGAATCTTCTGAGAAATAGGATCGGGTCCTCTAGGTTTCTTTGGTCATTTTTGTTCTTCAAAGTTGAACTTTTTATCAATAATAGGCCTATTCTTAGCCACAACTGATGCACTTGGAGTCCAATTAAAATGTGCACTTCTATGGGGTCTACTCGTATCTCCAAATTTTATCATTGACTTATTTGATGAGTTAGGACCATTATTTACCAGGGCCTACTAAAGTTTTATTTGTAGAAATATTATTATTAATCTTTCCAGTTTCAAATAGGCTTGAAATATTTCGGCTACTTTTCTTAGCTTCAAAAGTTTTTGGACCGCTATCTTTCAGCTGGATAGGAGTAACTTCTAATAATTTTATCAAATCTGGGTGTAAAACTTTATTTATTTTTCTTCATCTGTCGATAAGATGTCATTCAGAGATTTCATTATATCAATCAATGGAGATGGGGATGATGATTTCATCTCATTAATCTTAGGAGGAGTTAGGAATAGCATTGATTGGAAACCTTTACAGCTTTCTAAGATCTCATTAACATTATACTCTTCTCCGTCTTTCCCCCTAATTAGATCCTTAATTGTAAGTTGATTTTGTTCTGAAAAATTATTAAGAAACTCATTTTGAATATCTTCTGAGTTTACGGGATAAAAGGAGAGATCATCGGGCTCAAAGGTCTTATTTCCTCTTATTTATCCTTAGCCATCCCTGGTGACAGCTCAGGTGTATCGACTTTAGAAATTCAGGAATAAGTGCGGTCAACTGCCATATTTTTCATCTACAATTTCAATTTCAAATAAATTCTGGGGTTTTGGGGTTTTGGGGTTTTGGGGG